TGAACAATTGCAAAATATACCGTTCGTAATACATTACTTGAGAGGAAACGTCCCAACTGCCTCAGACAGAATATTTGAGATGACAACTTTGAGCTAAGGTGATGTACGTGAGATGACCATTCCAATCTACTATCAAGTGTTATACCAAGAACTTTGCAATCAGATTTATGAAGGCATTTGTCGGTGCTAAATGTAATATTTTGGGTTTTGGACTCATTGAGTTTTAATTTGTTTGAACAAAACCAATTTTTAGCAAGTTGTAGACTGCCCAAACTTAAGTCGTTACCTTTTGTAATTAGCGTAGTGTCATCTGCAAATATAAAACAGGAGGCGTCCCCCACACAGTAAGGCAAGTCATTTATATATAAAAGAAACAAAATGGGTCCCAGGACAGAACCCTGGGGAACACCATTTTGAACGGGGAGCAAGCTAGAGTCATAACCATTTAAACATACATACTGTTGCCTGTTGGTCAGGTAGGAAGTAAGTAATTCAAGCATACCATCTCTGATCCCGTAATATTCCAACTTAAGTAACAAAATGTCTACGTTAACACAATCAAAAGCTTTTGAGAGGTCACACATCGAAGCATTCGATTGGACACCCTCATCAAAACCCTGTACTGTAGCATCAATCATTGCCAATAATGCTTTAAGAGTAGATCTACCTTTTCTGAAACCAAATTGGAAATCCGAGAACATATGCTTACTTTCACAGTAACTAACTAATCTATATTTTATGATTAACTCAAATTTAACTATAATTGAAAACAACTTTTTATTTAACTAAACCTAAAGTTTTATTTTTCTTAAATAATTTTTATCGAAATAAATAGCTTACCTACTTCTCGAAGATTAGGATCATTCAGAAACAACAAACTCGAATTTAAAAGCCTTTTATTCACAAACTTGGATTACAAAACATGCCTAAAGACAAACAAAAACTTCCTGGGGAGGCTTAGTAGTGCCACAGGAGGTGGGTAAAGTGGAACGGGCCGCAGCCCCCATCTGGTCCCAGCTTCCATCCGCAGTACAGCACAAAGGGAATGTAGCCCACGTGGAAGACGTTCCTCAGAAAATCGATGACTAATTCCAGCCTTTCTTTAACCTCGACGGAGATCTTCATCATGTAATTTTAGATTCGCTTCGCGATTCAAAGTCTGACGGACTGTCAAAATTTTTGGAAAGTCGATTTGCGATTGTCGCTGTCACCGCTTGTCAAAGCGTTACGGAGTGATGCTATTAAAAGAGTATACAGGGTGTTTGTAAATAAGTGCGAAATATTTTGGGGGGTGGTTGCCGAAGTTATTTTGCGAAAAAAAAGTTCATATAAACGTAGGTCGAAATATGCTTTTTTTATTTTTATTAATTATTTCAAAGATTTTAAGGAGGTATATCGGGTTTACTCAAATGCACAGATGTACTTGAAATTTATATAGCGTATTACCCAGTGCNCCAAATTGGAAATCCGAGAACATATGCTTACTTTCACAGTAACTAACTAATCTATATTTTATGATTAACTCAAATTTAACTATAATTGAAAACAACAAGTTTTATTTTTCTTAAATCATTTTTATCGAAATAAATAGCTTACCTACTTCTCGAAGATTAGGATCATTCAGAAACAACAAACTCGAATTTAAAAGCCTTTTATTCACAAACTTGGATTACAAAACATGCCTAAAGACAAACAAAAACTTCCTGGGGAGGCTTAGTAGTGCCACAGGAGGTGGGTAAAGTGGAACGGGCCGCAGCCCCCATCTGGTCCCAGCTTCCATCCGCAGTACAGCACAAAGGGAATGTAGCCCACGTGGAAGACGTTCCTCAGAAAATCGATGACTAATTCCAGCCTTTCTTTAACCTCGACGGAGATCTTCATCGTGTAATTTTAGATTCGCTTCGCGATTCAAAGTCTGACGGACTGTCAAAAATTTTGGAAAGTCGATTTGCGCTTGTCGCTGTCACCGCTTGTCAAAGCGTTACGGAGTGATGCTATTAAAAGAATATACAGGGTGTTTGTAAATAAGTGCGAAATATTTTGGGGGTGGTTGCCGAAGTTATTTTGTGAAAAAAAGTTCATATAAACGTAGGTCGAAATATGCTTTTTTTATTTTTATTAATTATTTCAGAGTTTTAAGGAGGTATATCGGGTTTACTCAAATGCACAGATGTACTTGAAATTTATATAGCGTATTACCCAGTGCTCCCTCCGTGCGTTATATTTTTTTGAAAATTTTTTTGAATATAGATTTTGAGATATTGTTGCTGAAAGTTGTTCATTTTAACATAGGTTTCTATGGCGAAGATGGACGGTGCGGTACTTTTTTGCCCACAACTGAGAAGAAAATGTAGAAATTGTGAAACAAAACTTTTCCATAGATAGTACACAATATTATCTTATTGTTGATGTAAAACTAATGTAAGTTTTGAACATAGTACAGCCGTATTAATTAGAAACAGAAACCAATCATTGCATTTCTGTCCGACTTGAGGATTAATGTGGCAACGTCGCAATCAGCTGACAGCAAGGAGGGAATACATTTGAAAGACTTGATAAAAACGAAATTGATTTCAAACATATACATTTTTCCTAAATCCCATGTACATTGTTATCAACAATAAATTATCCACAACAGATGATTTTTTGTAATGTTTTTAAAAAACTAGATTAATTAAAAAAGACTAGGAAGCTGTGATATATTTATTGGAATAAAAAATACAGTTGATAAATCCTTTTAATATATTTAATGGTTTATAAAAACATCGTAATCATTACCCAGCAATATTTAGGGTTACATAAAGTTTTCTTTACTTGATTAATATAATTAGTAATACTTGAGATAAAAGCATTTGTACGGAATAACAAAGGAACATAAATATTTCTCAGCAAACTTTATATCTAAAAAATTAGTTATAGTTGCAAAACTTTTGTAACATTACTAAAATAGAGATTAAAAACACGAACAGTGAGTAATAATGTAATTTCTATCACAGAACCTTCAAAATTGCATCCAACATTTTCTTTGACTTGGACGAGAGATGGGCGCGAGTGTCATTTCATTTCTTTAGAACTAAATTAACATAATTCTCGTTGTTTTACCAGTTCACATGATTTACGGATTTTAAATAAAGGATACAAATCTTCGCGAGGATAATACGATATATTTGCTATATATAATAATTATATTGTACATAGTTTACACACAATACATTTTTGAACGCGTACGCATCTTTACCCGAATTTGACGCGCAATATCTCCGATGTCCGAGGTCTGTAGGTTCGCAGTGTGTACAACTGCTAGTTAATTATTAGCGCTGTTGCCACATCTACATAGTCTTTATGCGTTCATTAAATATAATTTAAAACTACTAAAATATGATATTTTATGTTGTTAAATAGTCAATATGTATGTTATGTGCGTATGAGTAGATTTATTTCCTATATAAATAAAGTTTATCGCAAATAATTTCAATAGAATTTAATTTTTTCAAATTGGCAGCGGGCTTTAGTCCCATAAGAAAAGCATAGGACTTCCCCTGCGCTCCTCACTTCCTTCGGACCCCGATATACCTCCTTAAAGATATTGACTAGAGCAAATGTGTCTTCATGTGAAAAAACGCGTAAAATTATGTTTTTTATAAAAAAAAATTTCTCGCGCTTTATTTCTTTCTCTTCAAGTGTTTGATTAGGCGGGATCTAATAAGACTGGAAGGAAAAGAGCTTTAAAAGCTTACTATCTCAAAGAAAACCTCCGCATCGAGGGTTTCTGATCTCAATGATGAGTGACATTTATCTTGTATATCAATGAAAAGTTTCGTCAAAGAATCTGTGATGTAATATCGGCCTCACACAACTTTCACACTGATAAAAGTATTTCCTTTAAGAAATTCCTTTGAGCACGCCGATAAAAATGTTTCGCGAGATAATTATGGCAAAAAGATTAGTTGTTTTTAACAGGTTTAGTGAACTCCAAATACCTATTCAAGATCATTAAAAGAGTTTCTGAAATACACTAGCCCATGAGCAGATCCTTGAGGCATACCAGAATCTAGCATGATAAATTCAATAATTATTGTTCTTATACGAGAGATCATTATCTCTATCTTGTTTATAGACGTGATCGGTCAGTTGAGAGCTCTGTCATTTTTAGAACGAAGATTACATATCAATCAGAGTGGGCGCTGCTATGGTGAACGACGAGACTCTGGGGGCCCTCTTGCTGGGGGGTAGGCCGCCAGTGGCGTTGCCTGTTGTAGAAAACGTCGCCCCCGCGTCTTCCAAGGTATTTTACGGCTAGTCAGCACCTTTGGATATTCGAAAGTCAGATCCAACTCTTTTAATTGATGTGCGAAAAAGGCGTTGTTCGGTACGGCTTAATATATGAGTGTAGTTCAACAAATAAGAGCAAATTTAATATTTCGAAGGGAAACATATATAGGGTGTCCCAAAAAAAACAATTCCCTGATAACTTTTTAAGATTGAATCATATTAAAAACTGTTTCAGATAAAAATTGTAAAATGTTGTGACCTTGGAAATGACATTAGCCTAAAGTTTCAAGGTCAAAACGAGGTCAATTTGAAAATATTAAATGGACATTCTATTTTTTATGTCAGCAACTGAGACGTCGCCAAATTTTACATCCTACAAATCTTTTTATCTAAAACTTGATAGGAGTCAATCCTAAAAAGTCATTGGAGGGGTTGAATTTTTTTTTAGATACGCTATACAGGGTGGCTCAAATTAGAAAAAAGTTGCGCCTTTTCAGGGTCATTAAAATAAACCAAACAGATCAAAGATATCTGCTGCCTGCCTTGAAATATTGTGAAAAAACTAAGAAGATACGAGTAATTAATTTTCGTCGAAAGAAAATTTCTATGGCCACTAGTTTCAGTTATGCAACATTCAATTGTTTTTTTTTTCTTATGAGCGCCATATTGAATTTTGACAGTGACAGTTAGAGGATAAAATTATGAAGACGTCAATGTGTAACACTACTATTTTATTTGAAGAATAACCCATTAAATTAATGAAATTCAAGAATGTACTTAAAAATTTAATAAAATCTAGTTGTTCTTGACGTAAAACAAAAAGAAAAAAAAACAATTGAATGTTACGTAACTGAAGCTAGTGGCCGTAGAAATTTTCTTTCGACGAAAATGGATTTCTCGTATCTTCTTATCTCCCAGTTCCAAATTTCAGCTCTTTCTGTTGTGAAATAAGGACGCTAGGTGGCATTTTCCAAAATAACTATTTTCAGTTTTTTCGCAATATTCCAGAAACGGCACCAGATATCTTTGATCTGTTTGGTTTATTTTAATGACCCCGAAAAGGCGCAACTTTTTTCTAATTTGAACCACCCCGTATATCTTACGGTTTCCAAGATGCCAATGGTGAGCCATGAAAAACGGACCACCCTGTATATGACACACCATAATTTATTATCTATTTTAAAAATAACACAATATAGGTTTAAAAATACTACAAACGGACATTAACTACTATTTGGCAAATATTAATATTCTCATAAATTTTTAATGAAAAACAGAGATTAGGAAAAAGTATATTTGATTAGAAAATAATTACAATCAACTATTTAGATTTCGAGGAAATGATTTTGCAGTCATATTTAAAAGGCATACCCAGCTGGACGATGTAGTTTGATTACTAAAATGTATCTTAAGTTTTATCGACCTATTTGGACTCTAGGGACCCCCCATTATATAGTATGGCCAATTCGTTACAAAACACCCTATATAGGTGAAGGATATATTTCCTCGTTGTGACTTCATTAACTTGATTTGTTGTTCCTTCACAAAATATTTTCAGTTCGCTGTTAATTTTAGAAACACTCGTAAATATTAATGAAGATTCCAACATTTTTGCCGACAAGGAAAATATTTTACAGTTTACCCGTGACGGAAATGAATTACTTATTTTGAAATATTGTTAAAGTGAGATTAACTTGTCAGAAACTATTTCACTCCGCTGAAAAAGAACCTTAGTCTCCCGTTAACGCTAAAACACGGACCATCCATCAGAAAAACGTACCCCCGAAGCAGATATGAAACGGGAATGAGCTCCGTTATGTATCCGCTTCTAATCTCGCGGGATTTTTCAAATAAAAGGGACTGGATCTGAGGTGAGGCTTTCGCCAGTCGAGTATCTCAATCTATTCCCGATTCCCGGGTTTTTGTTTTTAATTTAGACGCTGTTTCCCTCCGTTTGCTTTCTTGCATGGCCCTATTGATTTTGCAGTTGGCTTCTAATTTAGATTAAGCTCTCGCTCCTTTAGTTTTTCTTTGTTTCCGTCGGTTCGGTCCAGACGCTGATCTCGCTGTGCAAGTTCCGCTTTCGCGGTCAGCGGAGACAGCGAAGCAGAGCAAGGGTGAGGTCGAGGAAGGTTATTGCCGGGGTCGCTGAATCCGAATCCGGAGTCCGTTTAACGAAGTATTTTTCAGGTCAAATAATTTTTTTGATGGGAACGAAATTTTGTTCCCAGATGCTGAAAGAACGAGAAATTTTACGTTCAAGGTTATTTAAAGGTCACTCTTGTTTTTTTTTAATGTTAAAATACAATTTCCAACTCCGGCTTCTGAAAGACCGAGAAATTTTACGTTGGGAGAAGTGGTTGCGTTATTTTTTATTTTCAAGGTTATTTGAAGGTCAGATCTCCCTCTCTAACTTCTCAGGCTGATATCTCGTGGGAATAGAGATGTCGGGAAAATGGCCTCTACAAAAGTTGTCTAAGTTATTGGAGGCCACCATTTGATGACTTTGAATGCCATGTTCAAGGTCAACTCTTGTTTTTTCAAGGTCATTGGGGCAATGTCACCATCTCCAGCATATTCTGAGGTAACAGGATTGGAAATATTTGTTGCCATTTTTATCGCCTCAAAATCATGAAAACCAGTCTCGTGGATTCGAAAATCATTATCTTACGGTCTGAGAGTCGACTCTATTGAGTTTTATCAAAATGACCTTCAAGGTCAAAGCCAAGGTCAGCAAATCCCCGATGACCCAAGCAACTTTTATAGAGGTTATAGAGGTCATTTTTCGGATATCTCGCTAGCCTGACGAGATACCAAGTGTATTACCATAAAAAAAAACAAGAATTGACCTTCAAGTAACCTTAAACATAAATCAACCACGTATATGATCAATTTTACGTTTTTTCAAAATCCTGGGATAAAAATTGTATTACCTTCAAAAAACAGAAGTTGACTTTCAAATAACCTTGAACAAACGAACGTCGGACTCGGATTCATCGACTTCAAGTCGTATGCGTTTGGTCTAGTCTCTCGCACATTGATTTTTTGTTCCGTGGGACTGCGTTTTTTGTATTATGCAAGAATTAAACTTTATTTATTTATTTAAATCGTTAAATTACAAAATACACATTTTTTTCTACAAGAGATACCTACAAATACTAATGTTTAAAGTTATTTATTTGTGGTTTAGTTCGTTTTTTCTTATTTATTGGAAGGGTCAGTTGGTTAAGGTAATTTTTGTGAAAATAGTTTTGCCTAACGAAAAATCTCACGCTGGAAAAAAGAGACAAATACAAAATTTAAAAAATCGAAGTTATAACAACTCTTGTGGATGCAATAAACATTATGTTGGAGAGAATTTTCGATCAAAAAAATAGGCAAAAAACAAATTTAAATTGTTAAAAATAATTCAAAAGCAAAAATCGTTATAAGTTCAGAAGGCGAAAATAGATAGATTTTCGAAACGTCGACAGCTTTTTGAATTGCAAGATATACAAGAATATTCAAAATTCAGTACAAAGAATTTAGTATTGTATTTTTGAGGTCCACAAATGATTAGTTTTCAATATACAGAGTGTCAAAGTTTCTTATTTTTTTCAATTTTTTAGGAATAATTTCCATTAGATTTCCAGTAAATTTAAATATGGCATTGTTTTTTACGCTGCTTGTAGAGAGCGCCACCTATAAGGGTACACTTGAATTATATTGGCCCTAACATTTTTGCTACCCTGTACATTGATGTTTCTTATTAGTGCGTTTATTCCCCTATCAATTTTTAAACAATAACGGTCGAAATCTCTCAGACCAACCGTTACCAAGATATTGGCTGATAAAGAGTTAAATGAACGCCATATTTTCAAATTTACGGAGAAAAAATTTAAAATTTATTTTGAACTCACGTGTATAGGAAAAAGTCTTATTTTCACCTCAAAAATACGCCCCTAAATTCTCTGTAGTGCATTTTAAATCTGCCTGTATATTAATGTTTATATTGTATTTTGTATTTGTCTGCTTGTTTCAATGTTTTTGGGGTTAGGAAAAACTATTTTCATAAAAATATCTCGAAAAAGAGGAACTTCATAAAGTTGAAACTAAGATGATCTTTAAGTTCTAAAGACAACAACAAAGTAGGGTGTGCAAAACAGCGTTATAAATAAATTGTCCCAAGGTCAGACAAAAGCCGCTCGCGAATTCGCTCTTTTTGTACTGCGATTTTAGAGACAATTAAAAAAGGGTTAAACTTTTATTAACATTAACTTTTAATGTTGCTAGAGCGTTTATGACATGTACTATCAATGTAAAACTTTGAAATTTTTCTTTTCCGATACGTTTTTTCACCGCCATAAAGTGTAGTATGTCTATTAATATTTTTTTACGTGCAAACTCTATTTTCCTTGTTACCGATCTGTATTCGTCTGAAGTGAAACTGTACCTGTGTTTGTGAGGTTTATGTTTCTATTAAAAAAATCATCCTGACGTACGTAAAAATTATTCATCTTAACTGATTATTAAAATTTTAATATCGTGTTGTTTTCTTGAAGATAGTCTCTTCTCAATAGATTTCGACTATTAATAAAAAATGTTACAAATCAATAAGTCCACACACCTCCGGAATATAAATGAGAGCTAAGTGAAAGATGGAGATTGCGTTAGAGGAAGAGGGAAGTGTCCTATCTACCCTGAAAAAGTTGGGGAAGGAGACTTGAAACTTTCAAACATGTTCCCTAAGTGGACTCGTCTGAAGGGGCGTGATGGATTTTATAATGTGATTTATTTAGTTTTCTCTAGACGAGACGGTCAGTCCTCTAGGAATCAGATAGGATCTCGCCACATCTTCCGGAAAACAATAAAACTGGAACTTTTACAGCGGCAAAAACATTTTATACTTTTTCGTTACTACAAACCAATCTGCGCGTTGTTGTTCGCAATTCAAAAAATTTGCCTGTCGATTTTTTTTGCACGATCGTTCTTTGACACAATTTAACTGCACCTTTTTAGCACTTACGAGCATGCTAATATTCTTTAAATGCATGATTTTTGTCGAATTACTATAAGAATGCACAAGTCTACTTATAACATCAATTAACGTAGCGATTTTTTCCTTTTAGATAGTGACAGAGAATCAGTTACCTCCCTACCCTGACAACCTTACACTCGCTGATGGTGCTTGGCAAAACGTGAATGGAACGAGGTAAGTCGTTTGGACAATATTTCCAATTTTTAATTTAACATCTATGCTCATCCACCCCGTTTTCTAGACTGCTGATCACGCTTATAATGATCCCAACCCTCGCAACCCCCTCAAAGGGTGTAAAACCACCCTTAATTTTTCCAGTAATTGCTTTTGACCCCATCAATGGGATTGCGAGAGTTGGCGACGATTTTCACCGTCTTATTCGTGATCAGCACCACCAAAAAGGCAAAGTAACGTAACTTACCTTGTTGAATTCCACAAAATCCGATTGGGGGGTAGTTCTAGGCTGTTAGAGGCGGTTGCGAGGGTTGAAGAGGGATCGCGACCCATCATATTTGCGATCAGCACCCTCGAAAGCAGGAGTAGGGATATAGAGGTCATTGCTGATCGATTTCTGTAGTCAATTTTTCAGTCAAATGTTTCAAAGGTGACGAATCATTTCATCTCGCTGTGACCTTGACTGTAACCGCAAGGTCAAAGTTGGGATCACATCCAGATGTAAAATTTTCTGTCGAATCCATTCCCAGGGAAAAAAATAGACGTTCCCATTTAAAATTATGAAGTTGACCTTCAATTGACCTTCAAGGTCACAGTTAAAGTTAAATTCAAGGTCCAGTAACCGCTTTCCCCCAATGAACACCTTTCATTTTTTGAATCGAAGGCTTCAGTGACGGATATTCAAGTATACCGATTGGGCACTTGGTATACGGGGTGTTTCTGAAATAAGGGCGCAACTTTTATTAAATTTTCACATTAATGAAATTTCACACGGAGCTGAAAATCATCATTATTAAAATATGATGTCGACGTCCCGTCCTCTTTTTTTAGTCTACTTCGCTGGTACCAAAAGTTCTTGGCTAACTTGATTAGTTTTTGATATACAGGGTCTTTTTAAATAGAACACCTTTCAAAATTTATAAAACCAAGTATAAGTCGTTAAATCAGTCAAAAATAAATTAACTGTCAGTATTAAACAATAAAAGACGAATACTAAATAAATCACATGGCCAACTGAAAAAATACCTATATACATGCTGTTACAAATTTGCTTCTCACTACAGGGATCTCGGAAACGGTAAGAGCTACGAAGTAGCTTAAATGAGGGCAAAGATGCGTAATCAGGGGACCAACAACATGCCTGTAAAAAATCAAGGCTAACATGATTAGTTTTCGAAATATTTGAAAAAAACCGAAATTTTGGAAATTTTTATTTTAATTCCAGCCTTGTTTGAGGAGATATTGAAAAACGAAGAACACTTTCTCATGGCCACCTTTTGCCCTCTATCGAATGGCATAATCAATTTTTATATGTAAAGTTTCGTCTCTCCAGGACCATCATCAACCTCATTTTTTTAAATACGACACTGGAAATTCTATTACATTTTTTGTAAGCCTTTATGACCCCCAATACTGTACTACCTCAGCCCTAACCAGATTCAGACGTTTTGTCTCGAAAATTCATCTTCAGTGTATTCGTATTTAAAAAAATGAAGTTGATGGTTCTGGAGAGACGAAACGTTACATATAAAAATTGATTATGCCATTCGATAGAGGGCAAAAGGTGGCCATGAGAAAGTGTTCTTCGTTTTTCAATATCTCCTCAAACAAGGTTGAAATTGAACAAAAACGGATATCTGTTATTATATATGGCTGAAAAGGTAAAAAATTCTGTTCAACAGGATGACCAAATACAGGATGTTCTATTAAAAAAAACCATGTTTATGTAATATCGGGAAAACTGTGCGATTTGAAAAAAATCTGAATACGCCAATGGCTTCCTCATATGAAATAGAACAAATAATGTTGAAACTTCTTTCTTCTAAATCTAATGACAACGGAGATAGAGAGGTTGATGTAAACAGGCAATTTTTCAAAAAGACCCTGTATATCTAAAACTAATCAAGTTGGCCAAGATCTTTCGGTACCAGCGAAGTAAACTCAAAAGAAGAGGACTAGACTTCGATATCAGATTTTTTGTATCTATCACCGTTTTGGCTGTACCCTATAAAACTATCGAAAATCAACCACTCTGTATATGATAAAGGTGTAATAGCAGCTTAAACTAAGACAATATTAGATTAGAAGTTTTTAATAAAATATTTTATTTACGTAAACTTTAATTTTGAAAATTACACTACTTTAAAAAAAAACAATTGTAATAAATTAGTATAAATATTTGTTAACAAAAGAATTTAAAAATATAAAATTTTATGTTAAAAAGTAATACATTTCCATATTTCAAAAATTTAGCTCTGGAAATTTAGATTAAAAAAATTATTGTATTATCTATCGGAATCAGAATAAAATATAAAATATAAAATATTAAAAAAGTTTTATTAAAAATATTTCTAAAAAAAATAATTCACTACCTATTTCTACCTACAATTTATATTTCTCCGGTTCTCTCTCTTATCTTGCCGGCTAAGTAATACTGCAACGCACAACGCACGTGCACAAGATGCACAGGGTCCGATTACATTTATGGTTAATTTTCTTAATTAATTTCCTCAGAAACAGAAGCATTTAGACTATCACCTGCTTAATAAAAGTTGCTCATTTTCGTGACCTCTATCGCCCTTTTCGAGGAACGCACTTATTTCAGAGACACCTTGTATTATGGTCCTATATTTTTTCTAAAAAATACGTTTTTTGTCATGTTTTCAAATTCATGCTCAATTGGCATTGCAATAAAAACACGATTGTGGAAAATAAATTCTAATCCAACTATCCAACTACACAAAACTTAATAGCATTAAAACTAAGCCCGTGTTGAAACAAGCGCGTGCGTTAATCCTGACGCTTCCAAAGCTTTTTTCCGTGTGGAACTTGTAAATCCGGCACGTGCCAAATTAACAACTTGCCGTTAGAAACGTCGCACCGCCTAGCACCTCCACAAAGGAAAAAAACCATTCAGCGAAGCCCTTTCAAAGCCGCCCAGTTGACATTAAAAGGCTTTTAACAAATCGATTCCCGACAGAGGGCCCATTCGGGGCCGAATCCCCTTAATTCGCAGAAAGTAATGAAGCGATATTAGGAGAAGTTCCATTCGACGAGTGGGAAAGTTTTTAAATTAAGTTGTATATCATAAACGGCAACTTTTCCTATAAGGCTCAGCGAGGATATCGATTTAATAATTTCGGTGGACGAGAAGAGTTATTTAATGAACGAAGAGGGGGATGCTTATCCTCGATGATTTCGGCTTAAATAATAGTAATTGCGGTTTTCGCTTCCTGCTGAAGCCGAAAGTTTTCTTAATTATCCTCAGCGGTTGCGGAATAAAACCCGTATCTCTTACGATGTTACAATTTTTGACATAGTTTTTCTACAATTTGGTCCTATAGGATGTTTACGAAAGTGGGGGTTTTCCTTTTAGCGTAACTGAGACAGCACTCAAAGGAAAAATAATAAGAAGCGAAAAAATAAGAAAACTTACCCATTCTGTTTCTGTCTGTTATGACACTTCCGTTTTGTACCACGCTACGAATAATGTAGAAAACTGAACCATTTTGATCATATCGCCCTATCCACCAGTTAAAAAATATGTCGCGGTTCAGAAGGGATTCTTCTGCAACTGTTTTTGCATAAATTACTCTTATCTTGTCAAAACATGTACGTTATTCATACTCGGAAATACTGAGACCTACATTTAATAATCTTACGAACTTTTTTTTCAAATTAAATGAGCCATATTATTTGTGAATGAAAAATTGAATGCCCTTTCAACTGGTATAAGGTTGTCCATACTTGTATGTATGTATTTATATCGGAGAGTGGTGGAATTGTTTTTCCACCTCGGCACTTAGGCCTTATTAGTCCCCTTGTACACTCTCCTTCATTACTCGAGTACTTTTCTTCAAACCATCCTATTTACTACACGGGTGGCTTGGTGGCAAAGTCTCGTACAGTTTATGTATGACAGTATAGTATGATGTCTTGAGTTACAGAGATTTTCTTTGCGCATGCGGCAAATGTTGAGCGACCCAGGTCTCTAGTAGGTTGCCACAGCCACGTCCCCGAGCCTGCCTTAGGTCATCCATCCAAATTCCAGCCTGCGTCCGTGATGCCTCGGCAGATCGAAATCCGCCGGCCAAGACACCCGGCTAGGCGGTCCCCTTGTCCATACTTATCTTTAACACTTTTCCAGACAAATCAGGTACTTTTCTAAAGTCCGAAAGAGTAGCTATGTAACAGCGTCAAAAAGGCCTTGCATAACCACTTTTCTCTCACATTTTATCAGGCCTGGAACTGACAGTGTCAATATTTACTGGCATGTTTAAAAAGTGGTTTGACAAACAAAAGTAAACCACTAACAACAACTAAAACAAAACACAAAACGAAACAAACTGAAACTCGGAACACAACAAGGAGAAGAATACTTAGACCGCTGATTTACATCAATTGCTCCAAGTGTCCTCCATTTTGTTTAATACACAAACGAATTCGGTTTTTAAAAGACTGTTCAATATTGGTCAGCATGTCTGGCGCAAATTCTTGAAATGCTACTGTAATGCGCTGCCACATATATTCCACGGTAGTTGGTGGTGTAACGTAAACTGACGAACCGCAGCGGTATTGTGAGGTGGAGCAGCATCATGTTGCATCCACATTCTTCGAAGTGTAGCTAAAGGAATGTCGCCTTACAAATCTCCTAGAGTGTTTGTTAAAAAGTTTCAATAAACTTCTCCAGTTGGACAAAAAAGAATGGTCCAATGACTTGGGTTTCCAAAATTGCTCCCCACACGTTCAAAGACCATCGTTGGCTGTGTTGTCCGGAATTGGTGAGGATTGACTGTGTCATAATAATGGCAATTATGACCATTAACGAAACCACTTTTATGAAAAGTCACATCGGAGAACGTGACGCGTTTAAAAAAATAATCATCTTGATTTAACATCTCAAGTGCCCACTGACAAAACTCCAGTCTCCGCTGAAAGTCTACTTTTAGTGACTCTTGGTGTAATTGGATGCGACAAGGATGTGCTGTGCTGTGCTGTGC